ATCAGGTCAAAAGTCTTAAAATTATATTCGGTTCTAAATTTTGCATCAAAAAGTAGAACAGATACTAGAGTTATGAAGTAGAAAAACCTTGAGTACATCTAGACTATATTGAATTGGTTCTATTATCTTTGTTTTCCGTTGATTTTATCTGTTACATTTTTTTGTTTGTTTCTGTTTCTCTTGTTCTAAATTTAGAATCATTAGAGTTGAACACTATCATTTTTTTGGTAAATCAAAGAAATTCTACAGAAAATAATTTTATTCTGTGATTACCTTGTGGTGTTGGTTTGTTTCATGCATTATCTCTTCTACAGATCAGAAATCTGAAGTATACAGTAGACCTTGTAGCAACATGGGAAACATCCCTACTCATACAGTTTATGCTGGCTCACATATGGATTATGAGCACTTGAACTATGGCTAGTGACTCAAGACTTGAATTATTAATTTACTCTATTTGAATATACATAACCATTTGTGACACTGCAAAGCACTGGTCTCAAGACTCCAATAAGAAGGCAAAAAAAAAAATTCAATTCATTTGAAAACTCAAGATTCCATTAAATGTTGAGTACAAGAAGTAACATTTATATATAAAATTAGACGATGGGCAACCTATGCTAAACAAGCCTTAATCATCTGAAATAGAGAGTGGAAACATGAATAACAAACAAATGGATTTTGGCAAAAAAAAAAAAAAAACTACAAGAGATACACAGAGACATTTCCTAGTAATCACAGGTTACATTTTGAAGAAGACATAAAATTACTAATGTGTAAACCTTGATAACAGAGCCTCATCAATACTGGAAACAGAGGATGAAGACATTGTATTCTGAAAATAAGGACAAACCTCATAGGATTATGTTGGTTTTCAAAACATACACATGCACTGTTTCAAAGCTCCTTCCTCCCAAAGGTGGACTGTACTCTCTTGAGTACGATCTTGCTTGTATTATCCCACTGCTGGTAACTGCTGATAAGTGGGAAGACATTGTGCTACCAGGTGCCATATGGAATTATATATTTTTCTCTCTCTCCCCACCCCATCGTCTTCTTACGTAAGCACAGGATCACGTCTTAGCGCATGTGCACAAGGAGCCAAGGCCTCTGTAGCCTCCTCCCACACAACCCCTCCAGCTTCCGTAGAGCCTTCACCTGACTGCGGTTTGCCAGTTGTCTTGACGACAAACCCATGATAGGTCTAGAGTTGGAACCATGCAAATACATTTTTTTCTGAATTTCTGATATATGATAACTTTGAAATAATAAATACTATTTAACCATAGTCTTAAATACTATTATTTAAACTGTTAAATTGGGTAGTAATTTGTTGTGAAGAAATACAGAACTAATAAAAGCTTGAAAGGTAAAATGGAAATATGCACAATTATAAATTGGAGATTTCAACATTTATCTCTTAGTCATTGATAGAACAAACAGCAAATGGATGAGAATAAAGGATTATACTACAAGCCTGCATGACGTAAGGAACTTTGTAGAACATGTGTCCTAATGACCAATATATCACTGCTTTCAAGTAAATATGGAGCATTCACAAATATAGAGCATGTGCTAAAAAGGAAAAAAAAGTTTCGGTAAATTTTCATATATTGAAATCATATAGAATATGTTCTCTAGCCAAAAGAAATTAAACTGGAAATGAATAACAATAATACATCCAATGAAAATTTAAAACTGGGTATTACTAATGCAGTTTGCAATAAAGTGTGAAAAAACAAAACAACAAAGCAAAGCAAAACTTTTTGAATCAAATGTAAAATTTTAACATTCAAAATTTATGGGATACATAAGGCTCTATTTAGAGGAAAATTCATAACTTCACCATTTATATAAAGAAAGAAAAGTAATGTACAACTGTCTCAGTTTCTTTTTTGTTTTTTTTTTCTCTCATTGAGTTTATTGGTACATTTTAGGTATACAGTACAGTTACATTCATCATTGGGATCTTGTACCTCTACATGACAGGTCTTGGTTCTCATTTTTTCCCCTTGTCCATGCCCTCTTTCACCCCCTCCTCCCCTCCCCATTTACAAACACTTTATCTCCATTTTTTCATTTTCTCATATTTTTTTCTTTTCCTTTATTACCTTTCCCCTACCCTTCCCACTCTCAGTTTCTATTATGAGAAATTGAAAGGAAATGTGGAGCACCGTCAAAATATGCAGAAGGAAGGGACATTTTAGAATTCAAGGGAAATTGATAAAACAATAAAAGTAGACAAAATGAAAAATGGACAAACAATAAAAAAATCAAACTCCAAGCTTATTCTTGGAAGAAAGCAATAAAATTTATGTCTTTATTTAGACTGATGTAAAATAGCAAAGGCATAAGTTACCAAGAGCAAGAAAAAGAGATCATCATTACAGATATCAAAATGTTATGAATAACTTTGCCAGTAAGTGTGACAATAAACAAAATAAATGAATTTCTTCAGAAAAACCATCAAAATTTGTATAGGAGTGGTATAGAAATCTGAGTCACTCTACATCTAATGAAAACATTGAATTTAAACCTGGTAATGGAAAAACCTTAAAAAAAGAAACTTAGAAAGAAAACCACAGACCCATATGGTTTCACTGGTTAGGTCTATCAAACATGTACAGAAGAAATTATAGACATCTTGAAATATTTAGGACCATGTTCCAAATAACTGTACTAGTATAGTCAATGTCAAAACCAGATAAAGATCTGTAAGAAAAATTGTTATAAACTGATATCTATCATAAACATAGGTACAAAATTGTTTCAAAAGAGTAATTTAATTGAAGTATAATTGATATACAATCATATGTAATGAATGCAAATAACTTGATGAATTTGACTGCATTGAAACCATTGCTGCAATCAAGTAATAAATACACCCATCATCTCTAAAAGTACGCCTGTGTCCATGTGTGTGTGCGCATGTGTGTGTGCATAGTAAGAGCACTCAACTATGTGTTGTACATTTTTAAAAAATCAGCACACAATGCAGTATTGTTGACTATTGGCACAGACACACTTATCAAATATTAGCAAAATGAGCCAACAATATATAAAAGGGTAATAAATCAAGACTAATTGGACTGTCTGCCGGGGCTGTGAAACTGATTTAATGTTAAAAATAATAAGTCAACATAATTCAACATGTTTGTGAAAGGAAGAAAATTATGTTTATTTAAACAGATGCAGAAAATGCATTTGCCATAATTTAATACTCTTCAGTCACAAAAGCTTTTAGCAAAACCCTCTGCAGGAGAAAGAAGCCCTCCATCTCAGGCTGAGTATGGACTGGAAACCACAGCCACTGTCAAACCGGAGGATGTGAACGAATGTCAGCCTTTCCATCCTGATCAGAAACAAGGCACAAATCTACACTTTCACCCTTCTATCCAACGTTTTACTAGAGGTCTCTGCCAGAGCCAAGGGGCAGGAAAATAGTGGAAGGTATACAGATTGAAAAAGGAGGAGTGAAACTATGTTTTTGTAGCATGATCTGTACTTAGAAAAGCCTACGGATCAGCATAGGAGCTAGTTGAAATGACTTAAATAGCTTTTAATGATGCAATACATATGGGCAAAATCAATTGAATTATTATTAATATAAAAATTCAAATGTAAAAGCTCACTTATCATAGCATTTAAAAATAAAGCATTTAAAGTTAAATTTTTAGAAAATATGTTCAAGACATGTACACAGAAAACTACAGAGCACTACATATATTATTAAAGATGTAAATGTATGGAGACCTTCTGTACCTGTGGTGTGAAAACTTCAGTATTGCTAAGATAGCAAGCCCCCCCCAAATTAACTGATTAATTCGGGAATAGACCCTACCTGGTCCAGTGACTTTTGATAAGGAAGCCAAGGCAATCAGTGAGGACATAATACCTTTTCCAACAAATGGTGCTGAAATGAATGGATCTTTGCATGGAGAAAAAAAAAATCCTTACCTAACACTTTACTTCTCAACCAATAACAAAATTTACTTGAAATAAATCATAGATCCAAACATAGAAGTTAAGATTACAAAATCTCTAGGATGGATAATACTGAAGGCTGAGTTTGGGCCAGTACAAAAATAAATACTACAAAACCATTCTATACAATGGTATGCATTTCAATAGGGACGTGTTTAGGCAAAATGAAATGGAAATCTGCATATATCCTTAATTAATCAATGGGATGTGAATGTTATCCTGTCCATTGAGGGCAAGGGACGCCCCGATCCCCCGGGAATCCAAGCCTAGGAGTCCTCACTCAGTCCTGGATGCATGGACAGAAAAAATGGCTTCAAATCCAATGGAAACAAGGGATCTAAGCCCTAACAAATAAAAACACCAAAAAGCCGTAAGGATCCGTCGTCTGAACCGAGGTGGAAGAAAAAAATTCATTTCTGTTGAGTCCAGGGGATGAAACCAGGACTGGGAGAGATGAAGGAACTCCGAGCTGCGTCTTAGACACCTTCTGACTGCACGGGAAGGCCTCACCCCAAGTCTTCTAGGAGGAGAGACGCTTCAGCAGAGCTGAGGCTGCTGTCCTCTGCCTCACCTCCGTGGCCTTGTGATCACCGCCCCCCCGCCCAGGAGGAAGACCCGGGCCGGTGGGCAGCGTCCCCAGAGCCACCCAGGCCACCCCAGAGACCCTTCGATTGGTCACCCTGGCCTCGGGAGACCTGGTCACAGTGGCTGCCGCAGTAGGGCCAGGACTTTCTCAGGAGCTGAAGTTTCTTGCTGCGCAGATCGCCCATGAATAATGTTTTCCACACGCAAAGAGTTTACAGACCCCAAGGGCTTGCACGTCAATCACTCTCTTAGTTTGAAAAAGTTTAGGTAAGGGGTAAGGGCAAGTGATGGTCGGTCCTTGAGGAGCAAGGACTTCCAGCAGGGACCCTTTAAAGGCCCTGGCAGGGGCGTGGGGGAGTGTCCTCTTTCTGTTCCACCCTGGGCCGGCTGCTGCACCCAGCCAGGGAGGGCTGTCTCCTCCTCTTCCCGCAGCTGCGGCAGTCAAGCCCGGGGCAGGGGACGCGGCGCGACTCTTTGGCGCGGGCGCCCGGAGTGGACTTGCGGGGACACCACGATGCCGGCAGCCGCTGGGCTCCTGCTACTGCTGCTGCTGCTGCTGCCCCTGGGGACCCTCGCGGCCGCTCAGGGTCATGGGGCCCTGCAGCGGAGGCAGCCCCAGGCACACCAGCAGAGAGGTAAATCGAGGCACAGGCTTTGCTGGCATCCTCTGGGGGCCGCGGTTCTTGGGGTCCCTTTTTTCGGCGTTTCCTGGGGGAGCGCGTGGGGAGAGGGTGAGCGACGCAAGTTCAGAGTCAACTGCCTGGGAGCGTTGACTTCAGCCAAGGGACACCAGCTCTGTGCGCTGTTTATTCCTTTCAGAGAGCTCTGCAGTCCTGCAAGTTGATTTAAAGAATCTTTCCAAGAACAAACTTTTCCAATTGGGGGCGGTGGGTGGAGGGAGATAAAGTTTTCTAAAAAAAAAAAAAAAAAAAAGACTTCTATGCCTCTATATTTTAAGACCATGGTGAGCAGAGAGAGCCTTCAGCTGGCTTTGGAAAACAGTTGTGTTTAATGTAACTTAAATTATTCTTATGAGAGCATCTTAATGTTTATGTGCATCTCGTTTCGGAATCTCTTGGGAGTCTTTGAAGGGGTATTTTATCATGAATTTACAAAGAAGCACATGTGCAACATTTAGAAACATAATTTGTAACACGTAATTTCAGCAAACGTTTCTCTAAGTTGAGAACCTGAAAGAAAAAAAAACTTTAGGAAAATGAAAGATTTGATTCAACCATCAAAATATTTAGCCTAAAAGTACAAAACCTGGAAATGTGCAACTTGGGAAAGTTTTTATGAGGTTGAATCTGCTAAAGTTTGGCAATACACTTGTCCCTTTTCTAATTAACTGTAATAGAGATGTGTCTAAGAGTTCTGATAGTTGTTTTAACCTAGTATATTTAGCAGTGCTATTTTTTAAAGGAGTAAAAAGATACCTTAAGCTTCTTGCAATAATAACTCCTTGATTATGATTCCTAGAATAAAAAATGACCTTTAGTTCACTATATAAATTTTTTCTTCTATTTTCCTTTTGTCTTCACTGAGAGGTGAATGGGACCAATTTGGCTCAAATAACAGAAGTTTCCACAAGTTTTATTAATGAGTATGGGTAGAAGTTAATGGGTTTCATTTTGCTGCATTTGTACCTGCACATAACATACTGTCACCACTCCCCTCCTGCCCATTTTCTCCCCACCCTCTCTCTTTCACTTTTTTGTGGGGGCGTTCAATGTGTACAATGTATTTTGGCCATAGTTTTGAGGCAATGATTATGAAAATATCTTTGGCAGCTGATTTTTAAAATACCATCTTTAGCAATTCACTTTTGCTCAGTTCTACAATGTATCTTCATAATACAAAGTACTTTAGTACTTTGGGGCAGCTGGGGGAACAGTGGGACCAGTACATCAGCCCCTTCTGTCCACTTGCAACAGCTCGAAGCTTGCAGAGGGTAAGAGGGCTTCTGAGAATTTCTCCTGTGCACATGTACACTGTCTCGCATCTCTCCTCGGTCTTAATTTCTCTTGTAACTGAGTTAAAATTAGCTGATTTCTATGGTGCAGGCACACAGAAAGAAGAATTTATAGTGAACACAGGAGGAGAAGTTTATACAACCATTCTGCTGAGAGATTACTTAGCCATTGTCTAAGGAGGAATCTTAAGCAAAACTGTCCCACCCAGCCTACTATACACTGACGTATTCTGCATTCTAGTATGGTTCTTGTTATAGACTTTGTAATGTATCTGTGGGTTGGCTCCAGGATAAATGGCTGAAATTTGTTAATAATAAAAGTTTATATAAAATATATTTAGGATTCCCTAAATTTGTAAAAGGCTTTATAATTTAAAAATGCTTTGTACACATGACCTATTTGCATCTTCAGCTATTATTATTCTGATAAGACAAATTTAAAAACCGAGGTTTGATGTAGCTGGGATTTAAATTCATGTAACTGATGCACACATAAGTTTCAGCAACTAAAACCACCTCCGGTACTGTGCATGGTGAAATTCCCCCTTTATGGTTCCAAGGTTTCTTTCAATTGTCGTTTGAGCCCGTGCTTTCTTTTCAATGTTGTTAGGTTGAAGCAAGCTCTCAGAGAGTATCACTGGATGCAAACTGGAAAAGAAGTGTTTTCATGGCCATCACCAACGTTTTGTTTTATTATACACATGCCTTCCTGGACAAGTACTAACTGTGTAGCTCAATTTTCTTCTATGGTACTGTGCTTTTTATTAAGGATGGTGCCACCAGACAACCATTTAAAGATGTCCTTGAACTACAAAGTTTGATTTTTGCTTGGTGGTTGGCTTTTTACTTTTTCTTTAAAATTTTCTGTGGCTTCCATAGCATACTGAGTTATAATGCGAATGACATTGATTTAACAAGTGTGATATTCCAAAGAAATCTTTGATCTAAATGTAGGAGTGCTGAAATAGAAGAACAATGCAGTCAAAAGGATTCCACCCCTGAGCAAGGCAATGGGTAACATCTTTGCTGACATTTTTGTAAGTGATATATGGAAATAGAAGTATAATGTTAGGAAAATTGCAACAGTAAAAAATAGATTCCAAAGAATGTTGCATAGAGGATCAAGGTCGATGTGGATTAGTATGACCTGTTTTGGGGATGGCATGATGGAAAACATAAACTCTAAGTCTGGTAAAACTTCAGGAAGTCCAGCACACATCCAGCTGGCTAAGATGTTGAATAACTTAAGTAATTGCAGAGATTTTTACAGCCTAGACCAGGAATGGAACCTACCTAGGGTGAGTTTTGTTATTCGTTTCCAGATGTTGAACAATTCCATTTTCCCTTCTGTGCAAATTTGTTTTACCCCTTATGTGTACAGAAATCATTACAAAGATGGCATGAGAAAGATGCCAATCTGAACTGCAAAATATTCAATATAAAAACGTAGTTCTGCATGAGGGCAGAAAAGGTAACTTTCTCTCATAGCTCATACCAGGAGACAGGTCGGGTTAGCATGCTTGGGTTCTGCATTGACAAATATGCCTAAATTCAGAGGAAAGAACAGAATTGCTAAGGGCCTAAAAAGGTTTTTCAGAGTTAGAATGTTCCACAAAACACTTTTTGAACTGAAAAGGGAAAGTTTTAGGGGAAAGAAAAAGAGATGCCTTCAGATTTTTGGAAGGATTAGTACACGAAAGAGGGACTAACATGTCTTTTCTAAAATTCATACAGGGAAGTATGTAAAAAGGAGAAGGGATTGAGTGTGGTAGACCAGAGAAATCTGGCTCCCCAACCCCATCTGAGCGTTTCAGGGATAACTGGGCTGTGTGGCTACACCTGCCACCAAAACGCCCACACAAAGGTCAGATGTAGAGTGGGCAGCAGCGTCTGGAGGACAGGGCTCTCCCAAGAGACGTCTGAGATGCATGAAGTCTCCACTTGTTTTAGTGCCAAGCATCTAGTTTGTAATCTATTGGTTTTGGAGTGCATATTTGCAAGTAAATCTCTGAGTTCTTAACAATGTCAAGAAAATGTTAAATATATTTAAATGTGTTTTTAAAATGGCTTCTGGAATTTAAAATAATGGAAAAAACATGTTTGGGACAATTCTCACACATTTTTGGCAAGAACATTGAAACATTTCCAAAGGAACGCTCACATCATCCTCCACTCCGTGATTCTAAAAACATCCTTTATTGTAAGATAGGAGAACAAATTACCTAAGAAAATTTATTTAAAGTTTTCTTTTTTCTCTTTTCTTATGCTGAGTCTCTAACGTTGTTGGCCCATTGGGCACATATTACCTTCATCATTTAGCAAACATTCAATATGAATAGAATGGGTGGCTGAGAGGAAGAATATATTCAATGTTGACTACTGTAGAAAGGGTAGGATTAATAAAACTGGTATAAACATAACACTTTATTTCACATATCAATATTATAATTTTTCTATTTTGTTGTTAAGATTTTTCTACCCCAGGGTTTTATGGATAGTAATGAAGTAAGTCTATCTCGAGGCTTGCTGGTCATTATGAAAAAACTGTATATGGTTTGCCAATTCTTCATCAATTCTAGCTCTTGAAATATGAAATAAATGTCATCCACACTACAAAAAATATTCCCCTTATGGAGATAGAGTCATTTGAAAACTCAAATAGGTAATCTCAAGTAGAAATAATTATAATCTATTTTATGAGAGAAATTAACTATGGCAAAGAAATTTCAAAGTGGAATGTGTTATTCTTATATCTTTTTACTGTAGTTATAACTCAGAATGTTTGCTTTTCAGTAGATTTCACATTTCAGTATTTCTTCAGTCTCTTTATCTAAAGCAGAACATTGTCACGCTTAATGCATTTGTATATTTATTTTTTTCTTGTTGTATTGTTTTATTTATTTTTTCCTTTTATTGAGTTTATCGGTACCTTTTAGGTATACAGTACAGTTACATTCATTATTGGGATCTTGTACCTTTACATGGCATTTGTATATTTAAAACTGTTTAACAGTACAGTTACATTCATTATTGGGATCTTGTACCTTTACATGGCATTTGTATATTTAAAACTGTTTATTCATTGATGGTGACCAATATGGTAGACATTTCAACTCTAAGACCAGAGCCCTGACTCCTTTGATCCAAATGGATTCAGCAAGAACTATTAATGCTTCAAGTTTACACCAGCCCTCACTTCTTTCGGAATGTGTTTCCGTGTTATGGGACTCCAAATCTGAGAAAACCAGACAGAGGTTAGAGACAGACAAAAGCAAATATGCATGTGGGCCTCAAGACTCTTGCAAGGCTTAGTATGTTTCAAGAACACAGAAACAAGGTGAATCTGAGGCTTTGTTTGTATGACTTAATTAAAGGTCAGGATGTGTTGAGGAACTTAATGGGGCTGTGCCTGTGCGTAGTGGAACGTGGTTAACGAGTGACCGTGTCCTCTGAGGAAAACACACACAAACAATGCTCTGTTCTTTGAAGCTTATATTTAGTTGGAAGGCAGGGGTGTGGAGAATATATATATAGTAGCTTAATGATATTTGTATTGTGTAGAATGGTACATGTCCCGAACACCCAGATACAGCAGAGTGAGTAGTGGGAATCACAGAGTCTAGGAGTGGATGGAGGGGCATTGCTATTTCAAACAGATTGCCA